GTCATTGATTTAATGTTCGGCCGGGTTTTGCTGTGTTTCTCTGAGTTCCTAGGTTAAAAAACCCGAACAGTCACAAATCAGGAACAGTTTCCATTTTGTTTTCTGATGCGGTGTGACATCAAAATGTGCTGGAGGATGAAAAATAGAACAAAACTGTGAAGCAGAAACAAAATAAAAAGAATATGGGGAATGCATGTGTTGGTAAAAATTCAAAGCTCAGAGATCAACAGACCTTAAAATCAAATTTGAGGCTACATAATTCTAAATATGCACTCACTGAAAGTTTCAACTTTTGTTCCTCAAAATAGAACTTCAAACCAAAAGAGACTGAATGTTAATTAATGCTCAGTGTGGCTTCGTACTTTAGACGAGGAACATGGGCAGTTTTCGCACATGAGCTGCAGCTCTGATGATGTTCTGAAGGGTTGGGAGGTGCAAATGAAACGTCAGCAGTTTGCTCCAAATTTCCAGCATTTCTTAGTGAAACGTCTGGACGACAGAAGGTGAGAAAATGTGTGACACTGCAGTAAATTGTCTTCATCATTTACTGTAAGTGAGCGAGGGTTTGAGCTGGAAGAGCTTCGTTACGTTTCTGCAGACAGAATTGTTTTGTTTTGTTTTCCTCTCTTCTCCGCTGCATCAGAAAGATGTTCAGATGCATTTGATATTAAAATCAACACGCCGAGGAGCCTCATTCATTATTTTCAAAGTGCTGTAAATTAAACATGATTATTCCCATAATGTGATTTCTAAAGCACAGCCTCCCTCCTGCATGGTGAACACAGATGCCACTGTGTGCCCACCACCCCCACCACACCCCACTTACATTTTCATCTGAGCAAATCTCAAACAGAAAATATCTTGTTGTAAAGTTCTCATGTAAACAGCAACCACAGCAAGTATATATATTCTGTCAAAAATCTTAGATGTTCATGTATGAAAAATTGTGGAAAAAATACCAGAAACTTCATATTTTCTAACCATATGTTGTGATGTTATTAAAAATAAAAAATGAAACCACAGTTTGACAGTAATTAAAATAAATCCAAGTCTTTCAGAAACACAAATGCATACAAAAAATATGAAACTAAGACACGAAGTTTTATTTTATTCTAAAGTCATTCTTTCTTCTTTTTTCCCCTCACATTTTTTTATTTAAATACAATAAAACTGCAACTAAGTATAATTAGTTCATGTGTGCACAGTTTAAACGCTCATCATCTTTAACTAAAGTTAGTTTTGTTTAAAAATGCAGTGGTTTTGTGTTTCATATTCCACACTAAGAAGCGGCATTTGATGCAAAATAATCTGTGTGCATAAAAAACAAAACAAAACAAAGAAACAGACTCAACATTTTCCCTGGAAATCTCTGTTCCTCCCTCTGACAGCTGTAACATTGTTTGCATTTCTCTGTTGTGTCCCGACTTTCCGTCTGAGCAGCGTCATGTACAGGATGGTGGTTATTATCCATCCATAATCCTACAAACTGTTACCCACCCCCCCACCACCCACCCCTCCACAGCAGAGCCGCTTGTGCTGCCTTATCTGCAGCATTTTAAGAGCCTGTTGTATTAAACAACTAAGATAAAGACGGTCTTATAGGACAGAGAGGAAGCTTCACAGCGGTTTACTGTGTTCAGAAATGTTGCACCTTTTCATTGAAATGATCTCGTAAAAAGATCAAGTGTCTAAGTGGACAAATTTTCCCGAGATCTAACAGAAACATTCAGTCGGCGACCTTGTGCTTCTGTTCACCTTGTCTGTCTCTCCTCTTCATTCTGGCACCGAGCCAGTCAGGCAGAAGGATAACGCTATCAGGTCTAATGTGATGATTTCTACCAGAACTGTTGGAAGGCAGCCCTGCCAGTTATGGGAATGAAAAGAGGCAAGGTGTTAGATGGGAGGGGACAGAATGGGGGTGTTGTTTGCTTTATTAACAAAACACTTCCCACTCGCTGTCGGTTTGGGCTGCTGTGGCAAAACACGACACACAGTGGGGGGGTTGGGCGTCAACAACTAGGAAACTGGCACACCGCCCATAAACACATCACCTTTTCACCACTGTCTACTGC